CCCCCCCCCCCCCCAGCTTCTTGAAAATGCTATATAGGGCGTCATGTAGTTTGTTGAATGGAGTAGACCGTGACATGGTAAGGATGGGGACTTGTATTTTCCAAAGGTAGAAGCTGCACCCTGTGATTCTTGACACCTGGATAAAGAACTTGAGCTGACTGCTTCATGCTACAACCCTCCCTCTTCACTTTGTTACTCATGTGAAGGACCAATCCATGGAGAGAGACCTGTAGGTATCCAGATGTTGGACCACAACTTCTTTCCTTTTTTTTGTTATTGGTCATAATGGCTGGAGTTGAAGTCCAACAACATGTGGAGAGCCACATTTTCCTGCAAGTGAAAGGAAAAACTTGAAAAATAAGATAAATACATTCAGTGGGGAGGAAGTGGTTGATTGTACAACAAACGAGAATGTGGACATATTATATGATTTCATAACAAATACCATAAAAAACAGTTATGAGGAAACAAGTCGATTTCTGATCCTCATTCCAAAAAGGATTCAAACAACAGATTAGCAATAAAATAAATCTGCTTTCCCCCCCTTCTGAGGCTTGCTTTAAATTCAGTGTTCCTGTTCATATTGTTGCTGTGAATTCTGATTGTCACTGAATTAAAGTCTTCTTTCTCTGTAAACTTGATAACTCCTTTATTTCTGCAGATGCTTTATACTAGGGGTAGGCACTGGCTTCAGAGAAAAGTGTCCAAATGAGAGTTTTTTTGTTGTTTAGTTGTTTAGTCATGTCCGACTCTTCATGACCCCATGGACCAGAGCCCGCCAGGCCCTCCTGTCTTCCACTGCCTCCCAGAGTTGGGTCAAATTCATGTTGGTAGCTTTGATGACACTGTCCAGCCATCTCATCCTCTGTCGTCCCCTTCTCCTCTTGCCCTCACACTTTCCTAACATCAGGGTCTTTTCCAGTGAGAGTAGGTAGAGCAATTATATTTGTGTGTTTCTAGATCAGCTGCAGAATGGTTCAAAAAGCCTTCAGTTCGTGCATCCATATAAATCATCACTAAAGTGTCTGTGGTGTTTTGGGGGTTCCAGATGCTGAATTTAAAAAAAAATCTTGATATCAGGTGCAAAGAAGAAAGCACCAAAGTAGGATTGACAGATGATGTTCTAATGAAAACTAGAACCACCTTTGGAAACTCCAGTTGCTAAGCCCTTGGGGAGTGCTCAGATCAACATCACTGGACTCTATACTTTCTCATTCACTTGCTCAAGCAGTCATTTCTCAGTCAGCCATGGCAAAGGGAAGGTGCAACATGGTTTAATAGACTGGCTGCATTCCAGACTTCTTTTTTAAAATTTTCTTTTAGGTAACTGCACCAAATTGTTATTTCACTCAAAATTGTGTATATGGGTGAATGTGGGGTGGTTGACTGACTCTTTCATGTGAGCTTTGATTAGCCAGGTCAAAGCAGCATTAGTGATTTTCCTTCTTTCCTCCTGTCCATTTTCTACATTCTTTTATTTTTTAAATGCCTACTGCTGGCTAATACAAGGTAGATTCATGGGCTGAGTAAGAAATAAGAGTGCATGGCTTTTAGGGTGGATATATGGAATGAAGAAACCTGGTAAGAGCTTCTCTTAAACCCTGAAGGCACCTTCTATCCTGGGCCACAGACTTTTGTTTCCCTCATTCATACTTCCCTCTTGTACAAATAGCTGTATGAACCTGAGAATAAACTTATTCAGTCCACCTCCAAACCAATTGGAGTAATGATCAGTATAGCAAATATTTGGGAACAACTTGGATTAGATGATACTTGTACACCTCTACTTTTTAACTGTCCGCACTACAGTACACAAAGGGATTGAAGTGCCAGGAGGACTAGCTCCTTATACAATAGGTTCTCTTTGCTCTTTGTAGTAAGGAGACAGGTCTAGCATAATTTGCATTGTGCAGAAGTTAGATTAAACGAAAGGAAAAAACCCCCACCAAAACCAAACTTTTATTGTTTGTCTGTACTGTCTCTCTTTCAAAATGATGGTTATTGTAATATTTCAGCTAGAGGAAAGGGAATGATAGAAAAAAAAATAGGAGCCACACAAGAGAAGGCCAGTGGTGATGCCCAGTCTAAAAGGGAAAGGAAGGCTTCTTGTCCCAAAAGGTTAGCCTGCAGGGATAGACCAGCCAAGGCAGTGAGCTCAAATTTTCTTTCTTAAACCTTATTGCAGATGAGGCCTTTCCTACACAAAACATTTGCTCTATCATTGAGCAACAAATCTTCCCTTTCCTTGACAGCATAACTAAATACTGTTTTCTAAGCAATAAAGCAAATTAGCCTAAAGCCATGGTTGAGTATCTGGACTGGGATTGATTCTGTGGCTCTGCAGTAAGCTTTTTGGCTGGGTTTTGGTTGTGTCTCAGTCACACTGATATCTCTTCTACCATCACCTGATGTATCTTGATATGAGAATGTTTTGTGGTTCCAGAGTTTTTTTCTCTTCTACCATCACCTGATGTATCTTGACAGGCACAATGGAGAATGTTTTGTGGTTCCAGAGTTTTTCCCCCTTCCTCAGTATTAGCCCCCTCATGGGAAGCATTGAGGAATTGGGTTTTTAAAGGGTGGGGTTCTAGGAATTTGGTTATTCATTTTAGTTAGCAGATTATAAGACTAAAAGAAAAACAGTAACACAAAAACATAAAGGGATGAGCCCAGTTTCATCAATACTCTTCCTGTGTTTGCACACAAACTAGCACCTTGCATGATAAGATCACTCTAGAAGCATTTAAAGTAGAAAAGGTATCTTTACTTACAATTGTCATATCATGCAAAGCACAATCATATTAGGCTGTTTACTCTGTCGAAAAGAGCTTGTATGTACAATTGCCAAGCCCAGAATCAGAAAGCTTCTGTATCACCTGGCATGACATCAGTGGGAACCTTTCCCAAAAGTGTGGGTTTCCCCATCCTTGTAGAATTCTGAGGGAGGAAAAAAAGCCCATGGCATAACTAGCCAAATTTGTTGGTGGAAACATAGCACATACCTCTGTGTCAATCTTTCCCATGCCCCAATCTTTTTCTCATGCCTCTGGCTGATGCTCAACCCAAGATAGGGTGTGGCTAGTTTGGAATTTGATTTGCAGCCTTTATTACTTATGAAATTGTAATCAGTGCTCAAACCAGGGTTGTGGATTGAATCGGGAGTTCATCTTCCACAACTAACAATTCAACAAATCACAAAATACAAGCACTTTTTACCCCTCACTCTTGTGTCTGTAGAGGAGGAAGGGGAAAGAGCAGAAGGGGAAAGACCAGCCAGAAAAGAGGGAAATAGAGTATGAGAGAGGGGAGGCAACCCTCACTCTTGTGTCTGTAGAGGAGGAAGAGGAAAGAGCAGAAGGAGAAACACCAGCCAGAAAAGGGGGAAAATAGAAGTATGAGAGAGGGGAGGCGATGAAAAAGAGTCTCTCTCTCTCTCTCTCTCTCTCTCTCTCTCTCTGTGTGTGTGTGTGTGAATGTGTGTGAGGGAAAAGGAGTGAGGCAAAGAAGGAGGGAGAGAAAAGAAGCCATCACAGCACTTGGTGCCTTTGCTGCCTTTATTACGTGTGGAGGGGCTGTGGGAAGGCACCTGGCCAACCTATCTCTTGCCTGCTCATATCTGCACACACAAAAATTTTGTTTTGAATCTTCCTGACACAAAAAAGTAGAGATCCACTGGCATGAGAGAAAAAAAGCTGCTTTGTGAGCAAAAAGCACTAGATGGATTCAAACCATTCTTTGCATCATTTGGACGGCAAAAAAAAAAAAACCTTTGAATTCACCTGTTTAATAAGTGGAGCAAATCCTGAGGTATTTGATGGTGTAATTTGGAACATGGCCTGGTTCCTGAGGCAAATAATAAAATCATGCCCTTCTTATGTCATGTATATGAATAGACAGAAAGATATTAAATCTTGCTTTGATCCTACTGATGGGACATAGTGTTCTCTATTATACTTCAGTACAGCAAATTAGCATCCAAACATTGCTGCCTCACTCTGCCTATTAAAAGGGCCGGTACGGAATGCAATGGTTTCATTAGAGTTTGGTCTTCTTTCCCCTAACTTGTTTTGAATCATGAATAGTACAAAAGTTGAATGCATTGCTAAGAAGAAATCGGTTGGGGAGTGGGAGAGAAATTGCTCAAGGGTATCTGTGTGCGTATCAGGAACTTGATCACAGGAGATAGTGTTCTGAAATAACTAGTTTTGTCTCTTGGTTGATATTCTCTACTATATTTTACCCTGGAACAACAGAAGAGGACACTAAAGGGTAGTGGTGTTGTATTCTATAAATAAAGGCTGCACCATAGCTGTTCAGTTTGATGCTATGAATCTCCCTAGTACTTTCCAGAAACCTTTTTTCACATCTTTGTTGCGCATGCTGTATATCAAAGGGTTAACTAGAGGATTGATGACAGTGTAGAACAAGGCATTTGCCTTGTCCCAGTTCGGGGTGTGTTGGGAGCTGGGTCGGGAATACATTAAGAGTATGGAGCCATAGAAGAGGGAAACAGAGACAAGGTGGGCTGAACAAGTGGAGAAGGCCTTGAATCGTCCAGCAGCTGAGCGAATGCGTAAAATGGCTGCCACAATGCCCATGTAACAGCCCAGTGTGAGACCAGTGGTTGCTAACACATTGCAACCAATGACAGTGGCCAGGATGAGTGTATAGACCTGGGTGTCCTCACAGGCCATGTTCATGAGTGGTGGTGCATCACAGAAATAGTGGTTGATCACGTTGTTCCCACAAAAACGTAAGCGGAAGGTGTTACCCGTATGGACAATGGCATTGGCAAAGCCACCTATGTAAGAGCCAATGACCATCTGGATGCAGAGTTTCTTGGACATGGCAGTGGCATAGAGGAGTGGGTTGCAGATGGCCACATAGCGGTCATAGGCCATGATGGCTAGCAGGAAGCATTCACTGTAGGCCAAGCCTGCAGAGAAGAAGAATTGGGCAGTGCAGCCTGCGAGGGATATTACCTTGTTCTCAGATATACAGTCTGACAGGATGCGGGGAGTGTAGACTGAAGTGTACCAGACATCCAGAAAGGAAAGATTGGCCACAAAGAAATACATGGGTGTGTGCAAGCAGGAGTCTAGGTAGATCAGTGTTATCAGGCCTAGGTTGCCAGTCAGCGTTAGAGTGTATGAGATGAGGAAGAGCAGAAAGAAAGTGATCCGCAGAATCGGGTCTGTCGTGAAACCCACCAAGACAAAACTTGTAAGTTGTGTGCAGTTGCCTTCTGTTTCCATTGTCTCTTTAAATGCCGTCTGTTGATATAGTGATTGGAAGTTAAAGCTTTTTGAAAAGGTTGTTTGAAAATTCCAATTGTCCATTCAGTATGGTATTTCCTGTTACAAAAAGTATTGTTGTTCATGTTTTTGAAACTTTTTGTGAATCTTCATGGTGTATTACTTTACCTTACTTTACTTTTTTAGATTTTTACCCCGCCCCCCTAGACAAAGTTTACTTGGGGCAGCTTACACACATGGTAAAACATAATATAAAGATATCATAGAAATCATTTAAAACATCATAATTTTAACACTTATTTTAGATCATTGTCAAGATGAAATAATTTAAAAGATAAAGAATAAAGATCAGCTATTGACTGGAGGGGAAAGCCTGCCTAAAGAGCCACGTTTTTAAATGGCTTTTAAAAACACCCACCAAGGGTGCCAGACGAATTTCTTTTGGGAAGCTGTTCCATAGCAGAGGGGCCACTACCGAGAGGCCTGGTTTCTTGGTCTTTCTTTCCAGGCCTCTCTCGGCGTTAGGCCCCTCAGCCTTCCCTGCTGGCTATGCTGGGTGATTCAGGTAGATCTAGGTGGGAGGAGATGATCTGCCAAGTATTGAGGTCCCAAACCGTTTAGGGCTTTGTACGTTATCATTAGCACTTTGAAGTCAATGCGGAAATGAATGGGCAACCAATGCAAAGCAGCCATAGTGGGAGAGATATGCTGATATTTTTATTTTATTTTAATTGTATTTTAATTGTTACATATCTTTATTGTATTTTAAATGCTGTAAGCCGCCCAGAGACCTTTGAGTAATGTGGGCGGCATATAAATTAAATAAATAAATTTCCTCACCACACTAAGAAGCCTGGCTGCTGCATTCTGCACCATTTGAAGTTTCCGCATCAATCTCAAAGGCAGCCCCATGTAGAGCGCATTACAATGGTCTAATCTCGAGATTATGAGTGCATGGACAAGAGTAGTGAGGGACCCCCCATCAAGATATGGTCGCAGTTGGGCAATCCGCCATAGATGAAAATAGGCAGAGCGGGCCACGGACGCCACCTGGGGGATACACCTGGTAAGCGCCAGGTCCAGGTGTATCCCCAAGCTGCGGACCTTGCTCTTTGCAGTGAGTGTCATCCCCTCAAACAAAAGGGAGTCACCCAAACCACTAATGGAGGGACCACCCACCCTCAGGACCTCCGTCTTGTCCAGGTTCAGCCTCAACCCATTCAGCTGTATCCGTTGAAGTACAGCCTCCAGGCAGCACTGAAGGGACAGAACGACATCCACTATAGTAGGTGAAAAGGAGATGCAGAGCTGCATGTCATCAGCGTACTGGTGGCACGATGCCCCACACCCCTTGATGACCCCACCCAGCGGCCTCATATAGATATTAAACAACATTGGGGAGATGATCAACCCCTGCAGCACCTCACAATTGAGACTCTACGGGGCCAAAACATTCTCCCCAAGCTATACTCTCTGGAGATGGTCCTCCAAGAAAGATCGGAGCCAGGCAAGTGCCAGGCCACTGATACCCAACTCGGAGAGCCTCCCCAGGAGGATACCATGGTCGACGGTATCAAAGGCGGCTGAGATATCAAGGAGGACCAACAGGGACATAATGCCCTTGTCGGCCTCCCTCAACAGGTCATCCAACAGTGCGACCAGTGCCGTTTCTGTGCCATAAAGCTTCAGTTCTTACAGTCCTGGCTGCTTTGATTAGCCAGGCCGGGCAAGAGTCAAGAGAAGAGGTGGTGGCCCGACAGCGATCAAGCACCTTGTTTACCAAGTCCGGTGTTGCAGGCTGAAAGGAGTCAAGAATTACCGGGCAAGGCGGAGCGCTGGACATCTCAGCTCAATCCATTGTATTTAAAAAAGGAGAGAGGTCATGGCGGATGGTCTCCACTTTTGATTTTAAAAACGCTGCAAATTGATCAGGTGAAATGCTAGTGGGAGGCCCTTCACCCAGACCAATTCCGGATAGATCGTGAACTATACGGAAAAGTTCCACCTGTTGATTGGAAGCTTTCCTTATCTGGTCAGCGAAGTGAGATCGTCTAGCAGCCTTTACCTTAGCCAGGTAACCATTAGTTGCGATCCTGACAGCTTTCTTATTATAACCCGTCGGTTCCTTTCTCCAAATGCACTCTAGCTGTCTCCTGTTTCGTTTCATTGCTCGTAGGTCCCAATTATACCAGGACCCTGGCCAAGCTATGCACCTGAGAGGGCGTTTAGGAGCGATCGTGTCTACAGCCCTAGTGGCAGTGGCAAGCCAGCCATCAACCAGACCTTTGACAGGAGCGCCAGACAGCACAGCTGAGATCCCTCTCATGGTATCCTGGAATCCCAATAGATCCAGTAAGCTTCGAGGGCAGACCATAGAAATAGGTCCATGCTCCCTGGGGGGGGAGTGCCATTGAAAGGTTACATTTTATTAGGTGGTGATCTGACCATGACAAGGGGACTGACACCAGGTCAGTCACCATCAGACCACATTCGCTCTTCTCAGTGGAGAAAACCAGGTCTAGCATATGGCTACCCATGTGTGTGGGACGATTGACATGTTGGGACATATCCAAGGAAGCCATGGTTTCCAAGAACTCAAGAGCTGGACCGGAAACCTCTGCCTCCGCATGGATGTTGAAGTCATCCAGGACCAAAAGCCTCGGGGACTCCAACAGTGCCGTGGAGACAAAGTCCGCCAGCTCCGGTAGGGAGGTGGCTGGGTCGCGGGAAGCGCGGTAACCCAGCAAGATCCCAATACCATCCCTGGCCCCAGTCCACACATGAAGGGCCTCCAAGCCCACTGAGGAGCGCCTCGTAACTCCAAGGTATTTCTGTAAACAATGGCAACTTCCCTCCCCTCCAGTCTACCTTGGTGCTGGACTGCATAACCAGGAGGACAGGCAAGGGTCAGGGGAACACTCCCTTCCCCACCCAGCCAGGTCTGCATCCTCCTCCAGAATGAGATCTTGTATAAGCTGGGACTTATTGGACACAGACCTGGTGTTCAACAACACCAGCTTTAGAGTGGAGGGCCAACTGATTTGTCTACCTCGAGACTGGCAGTTGGTCACGGTGCCAGAACAGTGAATAGCCTTCAGACATCTGTTCACTGTTCTTCTAAAACAAGTAGGCACTGTGCCAGCACCATATCTCCCTCTACACGTAATCACACTAATGTTAGAACCCTCGCTGGGAGAACAGGCCCTCCTCTCCATGTCAAGAAAGAAGAAAGAAAAAGACAAAACACACTAAAATAAAACACAATACACTAAAGTGATACAATAAACAGTAATAAAAAATTAACAAAATAATACTTAACAATAAACAATAATACAGGGTCACAGAATTATCAATATTTGAATTAATCAAACTATCAAATTAAATAATTTACCAAAATAACAATTTAAAACGATTTAAATTGTTCAACTAAAGCATGAAACAATTAACAATCAAGTTGTCAAAAATAGGTTAGGATACCATAAAATGAAACCTAAAATAACATAAACACCAAAGAATAAACAATTATAAAAACCAAAATTTTTCCCAAAGTTACCCCACCACACATAATACTGTAACTTAAATTAATAAAAGAAAATGCAGTTTTCTTTTATTGTATTAATTCTACGTATATTAAGATGTTGTCTGCTGTATCATTGTGTGTCCTGCCATATCACTGAAGAACTGTCAAATGTAATCTCTATCCTCACATCTCAATATTAATAAATTCTAAATAGCTGAATTGAAAGTGCACCCCCTCCAGGCTGAAAAATTATAGTAACATTAAAATAACAAAACCTTGAGGAGTGGTGATATGTTTCTTCTGGGAACAAAGGCAATATAAAAGGTTATTGTGGTCTTGTAACTTACCTGTATTGTTTATAAAATAAATGCCACCCAATGAGAGCAATTAAATGTCGTACAACTGGTCACCAGAGAGCATATTTTCCCTATGACCTGCAAGATATTGAGGAATAAATAATTACACAAGCAATTAAGTATGCCTTATTGAGAAATGATATAACCTGAAGTTTATGTTAATGTGTAGGACAATGCAGTATTGAATTGTAACAGATTCTGAGGTCTGGTAGGGTGCCTGTCTTATAGTTCTGTTGCATATTCTCAAAGATTCAGCTTTGATCATTCTAGGTACCTGAGATAATTTATCTTTATTTGTTACATGTATAGTTTACCTTATTGTCAATTGCACCATGCCTCAATAAATTAACTCCATCGCTAAGCAGAAATATGAAGCTGATTCTTTGTAGTTGTAGTCTGATGCTCAGGTACAGGGAAGAGGAAACTTCCTTTTTGCCTATTCTGGATTATGACTTCCACAGTGCTTTACTATGCTATGAGTCTAAAACAGCTGGAAAGCCAAATATTCTTCCTCATATATCCCATCATAGTATCATATAAGCAACCTTTTGCATGCCCCTTACAAATAAGTGGAACTACTAAGATGGAAGAATGTAAATCAAATAAGATCTTCTATACTATACACCTAAATAGATTACTGTAGAATTTATTTGAAGCTTGAACAACTTCCTTTCATTGCCATTGCATTTTCTTCTTGTATCATCTATTCTGGCAATATATAATGGGTGGCCATGATAACTGTCATACCATCATGGCTCATTAATATGTTCATCAATTTACAAACACTGTCACATTTCGTTAATAATACAGATCAGCTAAGAAGCGTGGCAGTTCCATAAATTTGGAATAGATGACAGTCAGATATCTAAACGTACAACCATCCTAGTGGATGAGTTCCCCTGGAGATTCTGTTTGCCATTTAATAAATTGACAGGAAAAAACAAGGGGTAGCAGAAACAAACAAATAAACAACAACAATACATGGATAGAATTCATTCAATATTGTGACACCTTTCTCATGGATTCAGTAAGGTTTCTGGATTATTATCTGCAATTGGTCATAACTGCATAGCAGCTGAGCAGCATTCATACTCTTCTAAATTCACCAGTCCTTCAGATGTGGA